GCACACCGCAGCTACCATGTGCAACACAACGCCTGTGTACACCACAATGCTTGCGTGCACCGCAGCGCTTGTGCACGCCACAGCGCGCGTCTACACCACAGCATCCGCGTGCAACGCAGAGCTGGTGTACGAGGGCGCGCCGCTGGATGACCCCAAGAGGGGGGGGGGAACCCCCCTCCCCTTTCCCCGATCCTTCGTCGGGGAACCACCCCCCCTTCCCCCTTTTCCCAGTCCGTCGTCGGGGGACCCCCCCCCCCTCCCCCCTTTCCCGGTCAGTCGTCGGGGAACCACCCCCCCCCTCCCCCCCTTTCAAAAGGGGGGGAGGTCCGACCCCACCGCCCCACCCCCCCCTTTTGGCCGCCAAAATCGAGCCCCCCTCCTCACCCTCCTTTTCGCCACGGCGCCCCCGGTCTCCGGAACCCGACCCCTACCACCCCTAACACTAATCCTCACCCTTACCCTAACCCCCAACCTTAACCCCAAACCCAAACCCTAGCCCAAAACAGGACTCACTACTCATCACGCACTACTCACTACCCACAGTTCACTACTCGCTACTCACAACTCACTTTTCACTACTCACGAATCACTAATCACGACTCACTACTCACTACCCACGATTCACTACCCACGACGCGCTACTCACTACTCAATACTCCCTATTCCCTACTCACTACTCACTACAAACGACGCACTACTCATTACCCACTACTCAATACCCACCACTTACGAAACACAACTCACTACCCACTATAAACTCATCACACATCACTATTTTCCACACACTAACCACTATCCGTTACTCACTACTCACACTTCACTACTCATTACTCACTACTCACTGGCCGCAATTCACTACTCACTATCCACTACTCGCTACTCCCACCACTCCCACCTCCCTACAGAGTACTCACTACTCACTGCTCACTACTCGCTAGTGCGTACGCCGTACTCGCTACCCAATACGCACTATTCATTACCCACTACTCACTACTCACTACGACCCCACTACGCACTACTCAGTACTACCTACTCCCTACTCACTACTCCCAACTCACTACTCACTACTCACTACTGACCACGCCCGACTCACTACTCACAAATCACTACTCACTACTCACGAATCGCTATTCCCTACTCGCTACGCACTACTCCCTACTCACTACTCACTAGCGGCTCCTGATTATTCCGTCCTCACTACTCACTACTCACAAACCCCTACTCGCTACTCACTACTCACTACTCGCCACTCCCTACTCGCTACTCGCTATTCGCTACTCACCACTCAATACTCACTACTCTTTACTCACTGCGCACTACTCACGACTCACTACTCACTCCTCGCTATTCGCTACTGTCTACTCCCTCATCCCTACTCCCTGATTATTACTCACTACGTACTACTCACTACACACTACTCGATCCTCCCTACTCACTAGTCACAATGTCTTAGTCACTACTTCCATCCCGCTACTCACTACCCACTACCCACTACTCACTACTCACGAATCTCTACGCGCTACTCACTACTACCACCACCGACTAACCACTACTCACTGCTCACCACTCACGACTCACTGCGCTACTATCAAATACCCACTACCCACCAATCGCTACTCAAAACACTCTACCCCCTACTCGCTGCCCGAGAGGCCCCCTCCCCAGCCCCCTTGTTCGGCGCAAAGGGGGGAGGGGGGGGGTCGACCCCCCCCCCCCTTCCAGCGCCAAGGGGGGAGGGGAGGGGGTCTGGACCCCCCCCCCCCTCTTAAAGGGGGGGAATCGACCCCCCCACCCCACCCCACCCCCCTTTTAGGGGGGGAGGGGGGGGGGTGGGGGGGGGGGGGGCGAAAATCTCACCCCCCTTTGAAGGGGGGGGGGTCTGCGAGCACAACCCCCCCTTTTGTGTATTCAGGGCCATCCACTGGCGCGCTTTCGTGGTGTACACCACAATCCCTGCGTGCACAGGACAGGTACAAGGAGCATGTACGTGAGGATCTGCTGCGGACAACTAGACGCCACGCAAGGAAAATGTTGATAATCGAATGCGACGTTCTTCCCTCCTCCCTCCTCCACCTCCTCTTCCTCCTCCTCCCCCCTCCTCCTCCTCCTCCTCCTCCTCCTCCTCTCCTCCTCCTCCTCCTCCTCCCCCTCCTCCTCCTCCTCCTCCTCCTCCTCCTCCTCCTCCCTCCTCCTCCCTCCTCCTCCTCCTCCTCCTCCTCCTCCTCCTCCTCCTCCTCCTCCCCTCCTCCTCTCCTCCTCCTCCTCCTCCTCCTCCTCCTCCTCCTCCTCCCTCCTCCTCCTCCTCCTCCTCCTCCTCCTCCTCCGCCTCCTCCCCTCCTCCTCCTCCTCCTCCTCCTCCTCCTCCTCCTCCTCCTCCTCCTCCTCCTCCTCCTCCTCCTCCTCCTCTCCTCCTCCTCCTCCTCCTCCTCCTCCCTCCTCCTCCTCCTCCTCCTCCTCCTCCTCCTCCTCCTCCTCCTCCTCCTCCTCCTCCTCCTCCTCCTCCTCCTCCTCCTCCTCCTCCTCTCCTCCTCCTCCTCCTCCTCCTCCTCCTCCTCCTCCTCCTCCTCCTCCTCCTCCTCCTCCTCCTCCTCCTCCACTCCTCCTCCTCCTCCTCCTCCCTCCTCCTCCCTCCTCCTCCTCCTCCTCCTCCTCCTCCTCCTCCTCCTCCTCCTCCTCCTCCTCCTCCTCCTCCTCCTCCTCCTCCTCCTCTCCTCCTCCTCCTCCTCCTCCTCCTCCTCCTCCTCCTCCTCCTCCTCCTCCTCCTCCTCCTCCTCCTCCTCCTCCTCCTCCTCCTCCTCCTCCTCCTCCTCCTCCTCCTCCCCCGTACCCCCTGTCTTGCGGGTTGGCGCTACAGCGCACGTGCGCATCTCAGCGCGCACCGTAGAATGGTCCATGGAATCGGTCCAGTTGGTTTTCGGACGGCCAATTTAGCTGGAGCCTCCTGGACGCAGATGGAAGGAGTTAGGGTGATGCGGGCGGACCCGGGAGGACTCGTAGATTCCAGCGGCGCCCCGCTGTCCATAAAGATTAGTTTCTACTGTTTTCTGTGGAATCCACCAGCACTCCACTTTGTCATAAGAATTCGACCTAACATTCTATATGCAACAGTGGTGCTGTGTTGCACACGGTTGCTGTGGTGCACACACGCGCTGTGGTGCATACAGGTAGTGCAATGCACGCAGGCATTGTGGTGTAGACTGGTGCTGTGTTGCACACGGGTGATGTGGTGTACGCAAGCGCTGTGGTGTGCACAAAAGCTGTTGCGCCCGCAAGAACGGTGGCACAAACTGACGCTGTGTTGCACGCGGCTGATGTGTACATAGGCGGTGTGGTGTACACAGGTGCTGTGGTGCACGCACGCACTGTGGTGTACACAAGCGTTGTGGTGCAAATCGCCACCAACATGCTGGCGCTACCCGCCCTCCGCCGATCCTAGGCAACCCCAGACGTCGCCGGCGTGAAACGTGACGTCATCGACCCCCTTCCACCCCTCCCTGGATGAATGCCGTCATCGGGCCTGAAGGAAAAACAGGTTTCAGCCGCGTCCGCGCGCACGACGACTATGAGCGACGAGCGACAAGCCACGAGCGACGACGAAGACGACGATGACGACGACGACAACTGCGGACCAGACTCCTATGCGGATTCCTACGCGGACACCTACGCGGATTCCAATGCGCACGGCGGCAGTGCCCGGAGCGCACTGGGGGGGGGAGCGTTACGTCATAGTGAGGGGGGGGAGCGGGGGACATGACGCCCGTCATGCCCCAAGTAATAAAAAACGGTATCCTGCAGGACCTAGACTCGGGCTCAGCCCCGCTTGCGCTGAACCCCACTGGGGCCTTCGGTGGAGCTCAATATGGGGACACGGACCGTTTGAAAGGTGCGCCAAAATGGAGCGCCGCCGACATGTGGACCCTGCCACTGGGGCCATTGGTGGAGCCCCCTTTGGAGCCACAAACCGTGTGAGAGATCCGCCAAAATGGGGCTGATCTCCCTACGGGCCACGTTCCGTGCGAGAAGTGCACCAATAAAGGTGCGCCAACATGGGGCGGCGCCGCGATGTGGACCTTGCCACTGGGGCCGTCGGTGGAATTCCCTGTGGGCCCACGAACCGTGCGAGGGGTGCGCCACAGTGGGGCGGCGCAACCATATGAACCCTGCCACTAGGGCCTTCGTTGGGGCTCCCTACTACGAGGCCACGCAGCGTTGCACCGGGCGTGCCGAAACAAAGACATGCGGAGGACAGAGGCAAGGATGGGAGGAGGAAGGAGAGAAAGACCTGGGGGCGTTGTCTCATCAAATCGAAGATCTAAAATCACAAGATGTTTGAGGAATAATGATCCTGGCGAAGGGCGCAACTATATGCAGATGTGCGTACCAAGTTGCGGCACCGCTTTCGGTGGAGATCCCTACGGGGCCACGAGCCGTGCGAGGGGAGCGCCAACATCGGGCGGCGCCGCCATGCGAACCGTGCCACTGCGGCCATCGGTGGAGCTCCCTGTGGGGCTGCGAACCGCGTGAGTGGTGCGCCAACATGGGGCAGCGCCGCCACGCGAACCCTGCCACTGGGGCCCTGGGTGGAGCTTTCTATGAGCCCACGAACCGTGTGAGGGGTTCGCCAAAACAGGGTGGCGCCGTCATGCTAACTTTGCCGCTGGGACCTTCTGTGGAGCTCCCTGTGCGGCCACAAAACGTCTGAGAGTGGGCCAAAATGGGGCGGCACCGCCATATGAACCCTGCAACTGGGGCCTTCGGTGGAGCGCCCTATGGGGCCACGTACCGGCGCGAAGGGTGCGCCAACGTAGGGCGGCGCCGCCATGCGAACGCTGCGGCTTCAGGCAGGACATTTTGCAGACGCGACGCCTGCAGATCAATTTTGCCGGTTTCTCGTTGCTGACCGCGGCTGTCCTTGCGCAGCACACTCGCGTGGATACCCGCTTGGATTTTCGCGTGAATTTCAACCGGATTCCGTGTGGATTTGTCCCCTTTTCCAGCGCCCGGATTCCATGTGATTGCGTATGGCTTGCAGTCAGAAAAATCCCGACCAAATCCTCACGGGAATACATACCAACTATTGCTTTTGTATGTTCGATAGCCCGCGCCGCTGAATCCACGGGCAAATCCACGCACCAGGTGGAAAAATCCAGACAGAATCCACTCATAATCCATACTGCAGAATGCCCTGCCTGACCCGCAGGGGCCTGTGGAGCTTCCTGCCGGGCCACGAACCGTGTCAAAGGTGCGTCAACATGGGGCGGCAAAGCCATGTGGACCCTGCCCCTGGGGCCTTCGGTGGGGTTCCCCATGGGCCCACGGACCGTGTGTAAGGTGTGTGCCAAAATGGGGCGGCGCCGCCGTGTGGACCATGCAGCTGGGGCCTTCGGTGGAACGCCCGATTGGGGCCACGACCCGTTTGAAGGGTGTGCCAATGGGGCGGCGCCGCCATTCGGTCGAACTCCCTACGAGGCCACGAACCGTGCCAAGGGTTCGCCACCATGGGGCGGCTCCGCTACGTCGACCCTGCCGCTGGGGATGTCGGGGGCGCTCCTGCCCACGAGCCGCGCGAGAGGTGCACCAAAATAGGGCAGGGCGGCGCCGCCATGTGGATTATGCTATTGGGGCCTTCGGTGGAGCGCCCTATGGGGTCACGAACCGTGTCAAGGGTGCGCCAAAATTGGGCGGCGCCGCCACGTGGACCCTGCCGCAGGGGCTTTCGACGAAACTCCTTACAAGGGCACGAAGCGCTGCACTGGGTGTGCCGAAACACAGACATGCGGAGAGCAGAGACAGAAATGGGAGGAGGGACGAGGGAGGGAAAGGAAGAAGGAGGCAATGATCGCGGGGCGCTGTCTCTTCAAAACGAAGACACAACACCACAAGATGGTAGTGAAACACGAAAAACAGAATTACCCTGCGACGTGCCCGGCCCATCGGCAACAAGGGATGATAGAAGGCGCGCCGACAGCAGCAGCACTGCAAAAGACTGCACGGTTGATATCTACATCGTGCGAAGTGTGCGTGGCCGACTCGCAGAACAGAGGAACAAGAAGACAGGATGCACTCGGCTGGGAAAGAGAAGCAAACAGAAGACACCGGGGTGGAAGAACAATCACCTCGACAGAAACAGCGAGAGGATGGAGCATGGGCAAGATAAGGTTACATAGGCGGAGACGCAACAAGGCAATGAAGTGTCAAAAGTTTCCATGCCGAAACGCTCAGCACCTGCGCAGCCAGTGCTCTGCGTTACAGCAGAGCCTCTGGAACTTAAAACTCCCGTACCTAGTGCATGAAACGGTCAAGGCCTAGACCTTCCAGGGATGGCGAGGTTCTCGAGGTCTGCGTGGACCCCTCCACACACTTCAGCACACGGATTCACAGCCCCCCAGGGATGGCGAGGTCCCGTTTGGATCTGCGTGTGGCCCCACTGCGCTGGCTCCCCCAGCAGCCCTCGAAAGTGGTGACAACTTCACCATTCACAGCCCCCCAGGGATGGCGAGGTCTTTGGGGGATCGAGAGGGACCCAACTGTGCTGGCCCCCAGCCAGCAGCCCTCGTGTCTACAATGTCACACTTCGTAGCCCCCCAGAGGTGGCTAGGTCCCGTTTTGGGGGATCTGCGTGGGGCCCCATTGTGTTGCTCGTCCCGCCCAGCAGCCCTCGAAAGTGGCGACAGCTTCACACTTCGCAGCCCCCTCCCCAGGGATGGCGCGGTACCGTTTAAAGCTGCGTGTCACCCCACTGTGCTGCCCCCCCCCCCCCAGCAACCCTCGAATTGGCGACAACTTCACACTTCGCAGCCCCCCCCCCCAACCCTCGAAATTGGCGACAACTTCGCACTTCGCAGCCCCCCCCCAGGGATGGCGAGGTCCCGTGGATCTGCGCGGCGCCCCACTGTGTTGGCTCCCCCAGCAACCCTCGAAGGCGGCGACAGTTTCACACTTCGCAGCCCCCCAGGGATGGCGAGGTCCCGTTTGGATCTGCGTGCGGCCCCACTGTGCTGACTCCCCCAACAGTCCTCGAAAGTGGCGACAATTTCACACAGCGCAGCCCCCCAGAGGTGGCGAGGTCCCGTTTGGATCTGCGTAGCACCCCACTGTGCTGGCTCCCCCAGCAGGCCTCGAAAAGGGCGACAGCTTCGCACTTCGCAGCCCACCAGGTATGGCGAAGTCCCGATTGGGTCTGCATGGTGCCCCACTGTGCTGGCTCCCCCAGCAGGCCTCGAAAGTGGCGACAAGTTCACACTTCGCAGCCCCTCAGGGATGGCGAGGTCCCGTTTGGATTTGCGTGGGGCCCCACTGCGCTGGCTCCCCCAGCAGCCCTCGAAAGCGGCGACAGCTTCGCACTTCGCAGCCCCCCAGGTCCCCAGGGATGGCGAGGTCCCGTTTGGATCTGCGTGTGGCCCCACGGTGCTGGCTCCCACAGCAGTCCCACAGCAGCCCTCGACGGTGGCGACAACTTCACAATGCGCAGCCCCCCAGGGATGGCGAGGTCCCGTTTGGATCTGTGTGGTGCCCCACTGTGCTGGCTCCCCCAGCAGCCCTCGAAAGTGGCGACAAGTTCACACAGCGCAGCCCCCCAGAGGTGGCGAGATCCCGTTTGGGTCTGCGTGGCCCCACTGTGCTGGCTCCCCCAGCAAGCCTCGAAAGCGGCGACAAAATCAGACTTCGCAGCCCCCCAGGGATGGCGAAGTCCCGATTGGATCTGCGCGGTGCCCCACTGTGCTGGCTCCCCCAGCAGCCCTCGAAAGTGGCGACAACTTCACACTTCGCAGCCCCCAAGAGGTTTCCGAGAGGAGAGAGCCGAGAGAAGAGCGGGGGGATGATGATGATGATGATGATGATGATGATGATGATGATGATGATGATGATGATGATGATGATGATGATGATGATGATGATGATGATGGTGATGATGATGATGATGATGATGATGATGATGATGATGATGATGATGATGATGATGATGATGATGATGATGATGATGATGATGATGATGATGATGATGATGATGATGATGATGATGATGATGATGATGATGATGATGATGATGATGATGATGATGATGATGATGATGACGCGCCATAGAAGGCGGGTTTACTTTCTGCCTTTGCCCTTTCTCGCTCAGCACTTGTTTAAGAACTTCTGGAAGTATGCGGTTTGATACCGATCTCTTCCATCAATCTTGTGCCAGACGTCGTATTGTCTCCCGGTCTTTCGTGCCATGTGGGGGGAGGAGGAGGAGGAGGAGGAGGAGGAGGAGGAGGAGGAGGAGGAGGAGCAGGAGCAGGAGCAGGAGCAGGAGGAGGAGGAGGAGGCGGGGACGCCACTGCTCTATTTAAAACGAGAACCCAACCAAGGGAGGGTTGGGAACAAGAACAAAAGAGTTGGACAACCTGCAGCTCCTCTTTCAAACCATGATCGGGCGGGAAGTGCCTTCACCTTCAGCAGCCCGACAAGCGAGTTCAGCTCGTCCATGATCTCGTCAACGGCTGGCGTCTTCCCATCCACCTGAGAAGAGGAGATAGCGAGTCGCTCGACTAGCGCCTAGAGGAGCAACCAACGGCATAAACAGTAACCTTCGGAACTCCGCACGGATTTCTCGGGTGTGCGCTGAACCCGCGCCCTGGCGGGCGGAGTGTGCTACGGGTGGCGCAGGAGGCGCTGCCAGGGGGCTCCATCGCCGATCCAAGAAACTCGCGCGGAACTCCGTTTGTGTTTACCTATACAACCACCCTTCGGGTGAGGAGGAGGCTCGGGGGGGAAGAAACCAACGTCTCACTCAACCAATATCACGGTCGATCCCACTATCGATCTCACTACCGATCTCACTATCGATCTCACCATCGATATCACTATCAATATCACGATCGATCTCACCATAGCTCTCGCTATCGATCTCGCTATCGATTTCACGATCGATCTCTCTATCAATCTCACTATCAGCTTCACCAACGATCACACTCTCGATCTCGCTATCGGTTTCCCTACGGCACACCGACGGGACACCGACGGCACACCATCGGGACACCAGTCGGGACAACACCGCGACACCATCGGGACACCATCGGGACACCACGCGGACACCAGGGGGACACCAGCGGGACAACACCAAGACACCATCCGGACACCATCGGGACACCATCGGGACACCGCGGGACACCATAGGGCACCGCAAGCACCGTCGGGACAACACGGCGGGACAACCCCGGCAACCGCCGGCCAAGCCCGGGGGAGGGAGGCGTGTCTTTAGCTCTGGCCGCGCCCTAGTCAGAGGGTCCATTCCTCTCGCACGCCCACGCAGCTTTCGCCTCGCCCGCACGCACGCCGCGAACACGAAACCGAAACCCAAACCGATTGCCCGGTGGGGGCTCTCCGTTCCGCTGCGATCTCACCCCCTCAGCGCCGATTCATATTTTGATCGTCCTTGATCGAATTCCCTTCCTCCGCTCTCCCGAGCCACTGGGCTCATGGCCTCCCGAAGTCGCCCGTGGGCCTTGGAGGCGGCCGGGGGCTCTGAACTGGTTGGGGCCCCAGAAAAAGATGTGTCAGTGATGGGCTTGTCTTCCACCACCACCACCACAAGTTGGAGGGGGAGGGCGTCCTCCTCCTCCTCCTCCTCCTCCTCCTCCTCCTCCTCTTCCTCCTCCTCCTGCTCCTCCTCCTCCTCCTCCTCCTCCTCCTCCTCCTCCTCCTCCTCCCCCTCGTTCGTCCTCCTCCCCCTCGTCCTCCACCTCCGTGCCCCCTTCCAACTTTTGGTGGTGGTGGTGGTGGAAAACAGGCCCATCTGTCAGGAGGTGGGAAGAAGCCAAATCCGCTCAAAATCTGTCCCTGCCGGACCCCTCCGGGGGTCCATCTGGTGCAAGTTGTCACCCCATATCCATTTCTGACGGTCCTGGAACCCGAACTCGGGCCCCAGAGGCCGAAAAGGGCAACACAAAAGCTTCTCGAACCCAGCGCGCCTCGAACCGCTCCCCCCTTCCTGCTCGCCGGAACCACTCAGTCCCCCAGCCGACTCCAGATTGGATTCATGGCCTCCCAGAGTCGCACGGAGTTTGGGTGTAGGGGCGAGGAGGAGGCGGAGGAGGAGGAGGAGGTGGCGGGAGAGGAAGAGGAGGAGGCGGAGGAGGAGGAGGAGGAGGCAGAGGAGGAGGGGGAGACTCTCACTCGCGGGCCCATGAAAGCCCGAGGCCCGTGGCGTGGCCCCGCTGCTGCGCGGCCACGCGGCCCGAGGCAGGCGCCGCACCGTGGCCCCCTTGGCGCGTCGCCTGTTGCCCAGGCGAGGCGCCCGGGAGGCCCCAAGAGGCCCCCAGTGGGCAAAAGCGACGCCTCCTCCTCCTCCTCCTCCTCCTCCTCCTCCTCCTCCTCCTCCCGTGGGCGAAGCTGCCACCCCACAGTGCCCAGGAGAGCAGGGGCTTGAAGCTGACAGAATCGAAGGACGCCTGAAACAGATAGAAGCCGAGAGTCGTGCATATGATGGGGGTCCATGCCCCGGCATGCACTGAGCTTGATGTCTGTCAGGCTGAATGGGTCGCCTGCGTCATGCCACGCTACACCCCGCTTCAACACGTAGGCGACAGGGAGGATGCCTAGGAATATGTTTCCTTCCAACTTCAGGAAATACGAATACGCCTTCGTCCAAAAGTCGGTATCAGGCGGCGTGTCCGGGGGTGCCATGTCCGCGCGGGCACAAGCGAGACGCCACGGAGGGCGAGCACTGCAAGATACCGAGTGACAGGTGACACGATGATTATCTAGGCATAGCGCGGCAGGGCCTTGAATGGCCATGAGCCAACTGGCTGCGGATTACGTTTATGACGTGTTCATCAGTTGGCACCACGAGCTACAACTCGACGAGACTCCAACAGTGGCTACGCATGTGGTAGAACCCTTCCTTCTCGGGCTGCTACAACTCTCATGACATCCTGCTAGATCTTCGGCTCTAACAGACTCCAGCGCTTGGGGCCGACTGCAGTGTTTGAGCCTGAACGCCAATAGAGAAAACGCTTGGAGATGGAACCGCCAGCAAAAACATCGCGTTCGTTCATGCAGCAACGCAAACGAGCCAACCAACCTCGCCGAGCTCTCAGAGTTTTCGGCGCGACGGCCTCCCGCTTCCTCCCTGTCGGAGGGGATGGTGAGGTCAGGTGGACGGTGGAAAGGGGAGTGGGGGCACTTAGAGGACAGTGGCGAGGGAAAACCATCCCTGTGCCCCTGGGATTAGTCCCCAGGGCACGAGAGGCGCGAAGGCCCTCTGGCCCGCCGCGCGGACCTCCGAGTTGCAGTATCATGCCATTGGCTGTTCTCCTAGATCGGCGGCGAGCGAGGGCGAGAAGCGCGAAGGAGCAGGCCCTCTCGGAAAGCGGCCCCCCCGGGCTAGCCGCCGGCTAGAGCTTGGGGCCCTCTTGGGGCTCGTTGGGAGGATCTGGGAGGCCTCTTGGGCCCCATGGCTCAGAAAGCAGGAGGGCCATCAGTTCGGTGTCCCCCCCCCTTGGAAGCTCAGAAATTGCGTCCTGGAGCCCTCTTGGGCCGCTCTTGGAGCGCCCCTGGGCGCTCCTGGCGCCCGATTGTGGCCCTCTTGGGCCCCTTGGGCCGTCTTGGGGCCGCCGTGGGGCCTCAAGAGCCCACTGGCAGCGAAAAAAACAGAAAAAGGCAGAGACGCCGATCCTCCGAGGGCCTCGGAGGCAGCTTGGGCCTCTTCGGGGCGACCCTCGCCCCGCCCAGCAGCGGCCGGGGGGGGGACGCAAGACTCGGGTACGGGGGACTCGGGTTGGCCGGACGGGGGCCGTCGTAAAAATGACGAGACCCCATCTGAAATTCGACGCGGGCTCCCGCTGCAGACATTCCACGCAAAGTGGACCGTCAAAAACCAGGACGCGCTCGTCAAAAAAACCTCGGCAAACCCGAGTCCCGGCTTACTCGAGTCTTACGCTGCCCCCACAGAAGCAGAAGCAGTGTGGGGTGGGGGGGGGGGCGTCGCGGGGCTGGACCCCCCCGGGGGGGGGCAGCCGCCGCCGGCGCCTAGGCGCGCCTCTGGCCGCCGCGCGCCTGGCCCGTGGCCCGAGGCCCGAGGCCTACCTGGAAGGGGCCGTGGGGAGGCGCCGAGTGGATCGGCACGGGCCCCAGGATGCCAAGGCGAGGCCAGGACGAGGGCAGAATCGCGCGAGGACAGGCCCAGAACCTCTGAGATCCAGCGGATCTGGAGGACGCCTCGGGCGCCGCGGCCTTCTCAGAGCGTTCCAGAAGGCTCTGAGAGCGTTCCAGAACGCACTGGAACAGATCTGTCCTCGTCCTAGCCCCGCCCGAGATCCCCCATATCTTGCCATCCTTTCGGGATGCTTCTTTTCCCCTCCCATTCCCAGATGTTCGTTCCAGTAGCATGTTCATCGAAGTCGGCGTTCCACTGTGTCGGTGGCCAACTGTTCCCTCCTGAGTGTCGCCCGCGGCCCGTGACCTGGACGGCCCTGAGATCCAGGCGTTGCAATTTAGTTTCCCACGGGGCAGTTTCGCCGGGTTTCCCAGGTAACCTAACTTCGCGCATCGCGCCCGGCGATGCGCGACGCGACGATCTCCGCACCCTCGCGCCCTCGCGCACTCGCGCCGCTCCCCCTCCGCTCCAGCCGAAGCCGCAACGCGAGCGCCATCATCTTCGCGCCCTCGCAGATGACCAAAGTTTCGGGCCGTGGGACTCTCACAGATCGATCCGGCTCGAGAAATGCCGCAGAAAGATGGGGTCTATGGCTCCGGCTGCGATGTTGTTCGCGACGCTGCAACGTCGCCCAGTTGCGGGCCCTGGGGCCCTCACAGAACGTTCCGGCTCGAGAAATGCCGCAGCAAGGGGGTCTACGGCTCCGTTCGTGCTTTCGTCTGCGACATTGCGATTGTGTGCGCAGCGCCGGCTCACAAGGCATGGCCCCTGACCTGCCGCCGGGGCCCTGGGGCACCCTGGCTCAGGTCAGAAACCGGACCACCGCCACCGGGAACCCATCGGGGGGGGAGGGGGGGGGCGACCCCTGGGCGGTGGCACTCCCGAGCGTCACCCAGGTAGTGGACGACGCTGAAGCATGCCGCCGCCCGCGGGTCGGTCCCCATCCCCCCTGACGGGCTCTCGATGGCGGTGGTCCACGCTTCTCCCATGACCTGCAACTTTTTTTTTTTCGCCGTCCTCGTCGTCGCCGACGATGACAACGACGACGACGACGACGGCGGGCGGAGCGCTTTCTCCCCTGACCTGCAACTGCAGGACCCGTGGGTTTTTTTACATGAACTGCGAGGCGAAAGATTAGCACCACGGTACAGGCCCCACAGTGAGTTCATCCCTTTGTGGGTGCCGTCCCCTGCAGATACGATTGAACAAAGTTCTCTGCTTGGGCGTGGGCTTAGAACACTCTTTAGCCAAGCCTCGAAAATGGCAGCGGCATAGGAATAGCAACGGATACAAACAGCACTCACCGTGCCATTCGAAACGGGAATTGTGACAGGCACGTGGCCCAACTCCCGCAAAACTGGGC